TGCCGTAAAGGGCGAGGAAAAGGAAAGACAAGACGGAAGTTCATCAAATTTCGTACTTCGTCAAGGTATGATATACAGAGACTATCAAGGTTCATCCAGGATACAAGGACGGAAGACGAGACAACTAGTTGTCCTAGCGTAGCATCGGAATATTGTGTTACGATTTGCGCATGACTTTATGACGGTCATTTGGGAGCTAAGCGAACCGCTGATCGATTGTATGGGAGTTCTGCTTGCCAGGTGTATTTGTGGTTGTAACACGTTATTGCCGTTCTGTTGATGTCAATTAGAAAACATTCCCAAACGGCCGATTAGCCAAACTCCTCTTTTGTAGGATGCCCCTCATCGATGTACCATTTCAACGTGTAGTCATTGATTAAATTGGACCACAACAACCTGTCACTGACCATGGTAATCGGTATATTCTGACAAGAGTAGATTCTGCCACCCATTACCGAGAAGCTGTAGCTCTGAGGAGGTATTAAAGCTGAGAGACTTGCTGAGACTCTAGTTGATATATACAGCAGAGAAGGAGTTCCAAAATAACTCTTGACTGATCAGGGATCCTAGTTCACATCGGAAGTTATGAATATAACTGTTGTAAATATTGTACATTTTATGTCGACCACATGTGAGACGAGTCATTGACTTAATGTGCTATCGAATTTAAATAAAGTCTATTATTATTATTATTATTATTATGAAGGAGGTCATTACCACCCGATCGAAATTGTCTTGTAGTAAGATGTTATGGGACCCTTAACCAGATATCCTAGAGGATGTGCAATAAAAGGCCGACAGCATGGGACAAAAACCTGAATGCAATGTTGTTTTCCTGTCGGGAAATTTCCAAGGAAAGCTTAAGATCTTTTCTTTTGACCCTTTTTACGGACGGATGATCAAAGGGCCAATGGGACTTTGCCGTGAATTGTGCAACAAAGATGTACCTGATCCGGATGTGAAGCAAACGTACGTGGTTCCTGAACAGCTAGCTGTAGATAGTTAACGAGGAACAGGCTAACTGGTTAAACAACGTGAAGGAACTAAAAATAGGACCTGGTGAGTCGTTCTTTTACTAACTAAACGTAACAGACATCGACGTTCCTGATCCAGGCAGGTAAGAAACCATGGATATGTAATGGTTTCGAAGGAAGTAAGATCGTTGATGGAATAATTTAATGTTTTATTGTCTGATGTTCCTGGGAAGATGACGTTGGTCAAGCACGAGATCAAGACGAAGATCAACAAACCAGTCAAAGCAAAGAATCATTCTCTCCTATTTAACGTGGAGGAAACAACCCAGAAAGAGGTTGAGAAAATGCTGCAAATGGGAGTCGTAGGATAGTCAACCGCTTCTGTTTAGATTATCGACAACTGAATCGGGTTACAGTGCTTGACGTGCAGCAAATGCCCAATACCGTTGAAATATTCGAGCAACTCGCTGGATATCAGTATTTCACAAGCTGCGATTTAAGTAAAGGATACTGGCAGGTTCCTGTTCCTGAGTAATCGAAGCAGAAAACGGCATTTATAGCTACAATTGGACTTTTCAAAGTTGTCATTCGCTTCGGTATGGTGAAAGCGCCCGCGACGTGTTTTCGTCTATCAGGAATACTTCTCAACGACATGCGCGGTATTGAAAGAAGCATTGACGATATACTTATCTACATGAATACTTGGGGAAAAACAAACACAGATTCTGAAATAGCTGTTTGTCAGATTGAGAAATACAGGATTTACCACAAGACCTACGAAATGCGCCATCAGATTTTGCAGCTTGAAGGGGTTTGGTCACATGATTGGAGACCAACAATTGCAACCACTCTGAAAATGCTGCTTCCACCTTGTCCAATCCTGAAGCTTCCTGATCTAGACACACATTTCATCCTTGGCACGAATGCAACTGATTACGGAATCGGAGCTATTATTCTACAAGATGAAGAAGGTGTTCTATATCGGTGGCCTATACAAGCCGTAAGCTCAAAGGAGGAGAAACGCCGTTTTCCGTTATAAAGAAAGAATGTCTGGTGGTCGTTTTGGGCATTCGCAATTCGGGAGATACCTCTATAGAAGACAGTGTCTAATTGAAACAGATCACCAGTGTACCTTAACAAGTCTAAAAGGAACCAATGTTCGACTCATGTGCTTGGCCCTACAACTCCAACCTCATCGATTCCGTCACCAAGCGATCAGAGGAAGTGTAAATGTAGGGGCAGATTTTTTTAATCGGGTATAGATTTCTTTCTAAGACTCCGTGTAAGGGGAGTTCCTGTCCATATTTTGTGACGTGATTGTAAAACAAAAGTTGCTATGTCACCCCAACTTTTATATTCTTAGCGGGGGCATATATATATAACCCTAACCCACTTATATATTTTTGTTGATGTTTACCAAATTGTACTGATAATTTATTAATACGTTTTCCATGTTATGTTATAGAACAGTTGTGTGACCGCACAAAGCACCAAAACCAGAGTGTGCACATCGTGCATACCTCGTGCACACACCGTCCGCACATCGTTCACACGTGGTGCGCAAAACTAGGCAATTTAACAATTGTTCGCCTCGTTGTGCGCTTCTCTCCGCACAAATGTGTGATTGGGTAAAATTGGTCAATCAATATAACAGAATGGGGAAAAAATCCGAAAGGCTCGTATTGAATTAGGAACACTGTATATATTAATTTCTCGTTATATTAATTAAGATTATGTTCAATTTTACAATGGCTGTTGCACAATATTACAGTGACGGTTAGACTCAAGAATGGGGTTTGGCTCCCAGGTAACAGAACAGGTAAATAATATTTTGATGAGTGACCGAAGTTTTACCTGGCGCCCTGTGCCTGACAAAGAGATCTAGAGCCGATGTATGATACCGTATTACTATTATGAAAACACAACTTGACGTTAAGGATGTGTTATATTTATCCGTTTATGTCTATAGCTCCCTTCACCTGGTCCACGTATATTAACCGAGTGGTCATGTTTACCTTTATACGGGATCATGTCCATACATGTTATGATTTTACTTATGTCGATTTCTAAATTTAAGAAAGATCAGCTTATATACAGCTATTTATATAGCTAGGAATATAGAAACATTTAAAAAAAAGAAGTTTTGTTGTTTAAACACGAAATCGTATAAGTTGTAAAGCCATTTCTCAAATTACACTACCACGATTGTCATCGCACAATGTTCGTCCATCGTCCGCACAATTGTGCGAAAGCAGTAATCGTCCAGATTTGTTTCGCTCGCACATCGCGCGCGCACTGCACATCGTGTAACTACTGCGATCCCACAACTGTATATACATATAGGTAATAAGACTACTTCACGTATATTTTATCTTTAATGTCAGTGATTATAGCTGGGGTAGTAAGTCTATTGTAGCTCCAACCCTGGGTCGATGATGGACATTAGACAATACTGATAATAGTTAAAGGGTTGTAACAATCACTAGCTTAGGTAGTGACTAGTTTTACGGTAACCGTCCTGTGTGGACTACATCTTAAGGGTATTTTGTGAGATAAGTGCTGAATATAGTCACAGTTATAGTGAAACCTTTATACGGATGGACCGCGTCTTGTGAGGACACTATGTCATTTGGACAGTCTTGAGTCCTGTTCATTACGTGGAACACCTCATCTGGATTTAATGACGTAGTCACATTGAATTTGATTTGGTTTTACAGAGTTTCACGTCCTATCATCAGCTAAGGTTATTTAAGGACGTGGTCACATTGGATTTTGTTTGGTTTTATAGGGTTTAACATCCTATCAACAGCTAAGGTTATTTAAGGACGTGGTCACATTGGATTTGATTTGGTTTAACGTCATATCAACAGCTAGGGTTATTTAAGGACGTATGTGGAGTTGGAAGAGCTCATCAGCATCGGAGTTATTGAAGAGGTCGTCATGAGGTGAGACGGCTCCTGAGACTACACACCGCGGTGGAATAGCCTTGAAGTGATCACTGTATCCAGGCAGTGACATTCCATGATAGCGACTGTGACCGATTGACTTTCCCAGTATTGGTGCTTGTACTTACATTTTGTGATTCCAGGGTTGCTGCATATACTCACTTTGTATGAGAGTGAGTCAATAGTTAACATTATATTGAAAACGACAACTAAAATTGTGTAAATGTTGTCCAATCAAAGTGAGAATGTTGCGGCATTTTGTAATACCAAACTGTTAAACCTAATCCGATATATTTTTAAACATCAAGATGACGGGTTACCGACAAATCATAAGTGAACATTTTGTCATACTTGAGGACTTTAATGATCGGCGCAGTAAATCTGTTAACTTTAAAAAACATTATTTCAAATTTTAAGACATCTGAAATGAAATTTCAGGAGAAAAGGTTGTGACTACATCCCTATATGGGACAGCCGTAGTTGTCGACGTGGTGTATTTTGTTATCTTCAAAAGATTTATCTAAACAACTCTTTGACGACGTCTAGATAGCGAGATGTAAATATTCCAAGTGTAAATATTAGCACCTACGACCTCCATTTTGCCGTTCACTGCTATAGATATTGATCTTAACGGAACACCAAATTAATTTTTTGTCAGTCTTTCCTTTACTCTCTCGTCGTCTTATATTTCACAAAATATTACAACTTGCTGCCACTGGCTGTCAGCGTTTTCAGCTTTATCAATGTAAGATAATGAGATAACAAGTTAACCACTACCACTAGGACTATCAAAATATTTAGGAAAACCGGTATATCGAAATGCACAGGTATATCGTATCGTATTGGAATACAGAAATGATATATCGGAACGGTTTTTAAAAAGTCACTTTATGCATCTGCTAAGTTTTCCATATTAATTGAGCACTTTTTCTCTTTTATCAATATATCGGGATACGTATTGCAATGAATTCCTTCTGTATTGTAATTTTTTGAGACATTCAAGGCAAATTCTGACACCCCTTATTAAACAATGAGTTGGTTTCCGTTAAAAAAATTAAAACAAAAACAACAAAGTCCGATTGCATGAACAAAGCGAATTATTTACTCAAAATCGACGACACAAGGGCAAATTGAACAAAGGAAAAGTTTACATGGAGACCTTGAAAAAAGACATCGAACATGTATTTGAATGATCTTGTAGTTGATATGGATACAATTTGATAAATATTTACTTACATATTGATATATTAATACTTTTGCATTTTTCCGTTTTTAATTGTGTGCTTAAGACACACTTATTTAAAATAGCTGTTATAGCATGTATCCTCTTTATGCTTTCTTCACAGCATGTAATGCATATTTTCCGCTCCATTTTTCTTCTTTCATAATGCTTTCCTGATCTGCTTCTATCATCTTTGTAGTGATGTTAATTATGCAGAACCCACATATTGTGAATATATGTTCTATTTCATCTTGAGATAAAGATGCACACAAGAACTTGAAATTTCCAACATTATAATGTTCATTATTGAAGAAATCCATGACAATCAAATGACCACCGACTTTCAACAACGAGGCGACATTTTGTACCACTTTACAATACGCTTCAGCAGTTTGAGCAGCTGCTCCAAAGCACAGCCATGATGTAATAACATCGAATTGACTTGGGTGATCTCCCTTTCCAAGAGGATTTTCAGATCTGACGTCAATGGGAAGAATTCCACGAATTTTCTTTTTCATTAGATTCTGCCTTTTATCTACGGAATGGCTGCAATGGAGAAACATGTTTTTTGATCTTTATGTTACAAAAGCATCAGCTTTAAAGCTTTACACTATATGTATTAATATATTGATCGATTTAGTCCAATGACTCAAAATCGTCATACAGAAAGGAAATAAGACATTTGTATATGCTGTTAAACAATTATCATTATGTAAATGGAATTGGTATAATAGACCGTCCTCGAAATTCCAAGGGTTCCGAATATGTCGCATGACAAAACCGAAGGCACATGGTAAGCTATCTGATAGTTTGTTTCAGGGAAACAATACCCTGACTAATCGTCAGGCTAATATATGTCTTTCAAAGAGGAGAAACATCAGACTTGAAAGCCAGGCAATTTTACCGTCACGCCGCACACAAATCTTTTTATGTAAATCAAAGGATCAAACTAGTTTAACTTGTATCCTATATCAGGTGGCGGTTACAAAGCCTTCCATTTAGTCATGACATATTCCAGAGGAGTAGAGAACGTTAGTTAACACAACTTTTGGAACTTCGAGGATTACAATAGAACTACACGTATGTTTTGTTACAATTCTGTCATCAATATAATGAAATGTACCTTGCATTTTCTTTTTTAAGGATGTAATCCGTCATTTCAGGTTCTAGCGTTTCGTCACTCTTCCACCAGTCCGTCAGTATTCCTCGATTTTGTTGATTGATGTCACTGAGATACATCTCATCCACGTACATGCAGGAAGTGACCAGAGATTTAGTGGTTGGACCCGTACCAATATCAAGAAGGCTTTTGCCCTTTATGACACCTGGTAAACGTGCAAATATTATATTATATATCAAGCATGTTCGAAGCTGCGGGCAACAAATACATTTATAATCAAAGGTCAAAATGAGAACTAATTATGAGTATGAATAGACTCAAATGAACTCGCGTGGGGGAAGAGTGCTATTGAAAGGAATATCCGTATGCTACTTCTTTTGACTAACCAGAAAAGTACATCTGCCTTCCCCAGAAAATCTAGGATACATTGATCTTGTGAAGATACAGTACATCCATATTTGAGATAAGATTATGATGATGCATGCAAAGGTTGAGATAATGCATGCAAAGGTTGAATATAACTTGAATAATTCCCAGTAAAATATCAAACGAGAAAATGCTGAATACTTATAACATGACCTAGGCTTGTAATCAAACTATTGCATGTAGGTGTCAAGTAAATATCGTTCATTTATTTGTGCGCTAAGAATATATTACAATGGGGTCAAGCTTTGATGCAGCGAACTTAACTATTTTGTCATGATTCTGAAATTTGTTATACATTTTAGACTTCAATATTTTTTTCTATTCATAAATTACCAGGTGGTGTTTTAGAGTAAGTCGTGTGAAGCTCACATATGTGTGGAAATGTGGTGATATGTCACTTGTTAAGCCACTAGAATAAGTTAATATTTGAGAAAAGGAATGACACATAAACAGGAAAGCGTTAAAAGTTTGATTGGTTCGACACCATCTTTAGTGAATCCTATATGTTTTACGAAAATAAATAAGTATAGTAAAGTTTAAACAATTACGTTCTAGTTTATGTTTTTCCAAATTTTGGCCTTGTCTGTATATGACCATTGTGGTACATTTCTGGTCTTTTCAACCAGAATGTTTTTTTTACACAGATATAAAATAGTAAGGCTTAAAAAAACAGGGATATATATAGGCTATTGTTCCATGACTATAGGTCAACTAAGATAATGGGAATATAATTTTTATATTTGAATTTGTAAATGAGAAATATTCGTTCTTAGCGACGACTTTAATAAATTTGAATTTTAAAAAGAAATGCCTTATGTCGGCAAATGATTATGATTTATGTCAGTATATGATTCTGTTGGATGTCAGTCAGTACATGTTTATGATTTATGTCAGTATATGGTTATGTTGGATGTCAGTCAGTACATGATTATGATTTATGTCAGTATATAGTTATGTTCGATATCAGTACTTGAGTATTTACCTGAACTAAAGGTTTCGTGCATTGCGTCCAAATTGAATCGGAGGGAGTCCCCCCCATTTAGCTTTCCATTTGAACCCCATCGGTAGGCTTTCATATAGTACTCCGAGTCGAAGTTGTCATAATCAGTCGTTTCTGTGAGAGGCATCCTAAAAGGCAGATACAAACACCAAATTAGCCAACAAAGTCCGGATCGAGTAATGGTCCCACGATGGGTATATTGTCAAGTTACACCATAGACTAAACTTTCCATCGCTACGATTGGTTGATCAAAATGTTATACTCATATTATCATTATAAGGGCATATAATTTGGAAACATAATGCAAGTATTAATGTTACACAACACAATGCAGTGTAAAGGCAATGACTGGTCGAAAAGCTCATTAGTATTCACCAACATCCCACCTCCGCCGGTATTGATAGACACGTGACGCTGGCTACACATGACACACCGTGGTCACATTCCATTTATCACGTGTAAATGTTGTTAGATACAGTCATGCCATTGGTTAGACAGGCGACATGTGCTTTATTATACGTATCACGAATACTCAATCAACGCCAGAAAGATGAATCGATGTTTCGTTTTCAAACTAACAACACGAGATGCATATGAAGTGTATAGGCAAGCTTATGATCGTCATAATGCTCGGATCAGTGTTATTATTGTGATATGAAAGTCGGTGCTTTTTGCTTATGGACGCAAGAGACAAAACCTATAAATAGAGGTTCTCCAACAACTGATGGTGTTTATCATGTTTATCGAACTCGAGTTGGTTAATTTTAATATTGTATAAAGACTCGAGGTTTAATGAGTGTCGTTTACAACTTGAAATTAACTAACGAGAATTAGATAAACATGATAGTCAATGGAAAACAGTTCGGGAACCTTTTTCTACCACAATATTCAGATATCATATCTAGAAAATTGTGTTTCTTTACGGAATACATTATCGGGGAAACAATTGCCATGACTTATTACTTCACAATGGAAGATAACATGGCAATGCATTGCTACTTGACTTTATAATTAGATGATTGACTAATGAAATAACGTCAAGGGTGTTATCCACTTGTGGGTAACCAAGATCTTCTTGCAGGTTTATCTAATGAGTCGGGAGTGAGAAAAGCTATAGTGGTTGTGGGAGAAATAAGGTTTGGATGAACATTTTAGCTTCTAAGTAATTATCAAGATCTCAGCTATATAACCGCATGCTTTAAGATGTGGATATGTTTTTTTACCAGTCCTCCGGTACTCACATCCTGGGCCATATTTTAGATATGGTGGAGACCCCCACCTAAAACTGCATATAGTTTGCTTTGCATAAAAAGATTCTAAGACTCTTTCATGCACAGGGTTGTAGAATAGGGATATTCCACGATCAGCTTTTTTTTAATTTGGTAAAACCCCAGGCTTTGCCGAGGGTTTTGCCAAATTTGAAAATCTCGAGGGTTGAGTGTCCCTATCCTACACCCCTGGACATGAAAGCGTATTTTTCTCTCATTCCTACTACCAGAATTAACTCAGAAAAATTCGTTTGCACTGTGACCATGTTGAAAATATCAACTTTTCCCCTAAGTATTAATCTCATCTTTCTAACATGTCAGGTAAATATTTACCGCATTGCGGCATTGGAGTTTTTCCCAAACTAATGACGTAGAGATAGAATACCTGTGCGATTATCTTCACAAAACTATAAACATTGTATACACTTACTCCCTACACTGACTACGAAGCTATTGTTCACTCGGGATGTTGGGCATACCTACAGTAAACATGTTAAGGAATGCTATCTGACAAACCTTGTGGGATTTTCTGATATTAAGCAACAGGTACATCGATGATATTTTTTGCATGGTCGATTACCCCTTTGATATGTTAGGTGTCTCTGAGATATCAAATCAGGATATCAACATAAACGTTGGTGCTTGTTAGGGAAATAAAATCAGGTCAATATGGCGAGTAATGCGGGCCGTATAGACAACTGGGCGGACAGTCTGGTGCTTGTTATATACTTTACTGCTGTACTGGCCATAGGACTATGGGTAAGTGTGCATTGCTATTACATAACGTGTCAACATTACGATAGACCTGGTTGAAAGTATGTTTAGATTTAAAACCGAATAGAAATTAAAAAAATGTTGAGTGTACTTTGTCTGGTGTTATCTAAAGTAAATTTAGATAAGGAGGCATTTAAACGTTATATTATGGAAATTACTATAATTAATTATTTATTACATTTAAGCTATTTTCGAGATATCAAATCGGATCAAATACAAAGTATACTACCTGATTATGTCTTATCTAATTATAACTGAGGTATTTATTTCTAGTGAATTTTGTATGCTCCACATTTCTTAAATGCGTTCAAGCATAAAAAAAAATCATTCCTGTTGTCCATTTTAACCGCTGCCAAACAACTTGTAAAGTTAAGTGATATCTTTTTACACACAGCACTTGCACTTGTTACACACATGCCGTCAGGAGTCAAGTACAAGTTATTTGTGGTGTATTAGTAAGGCTATGACCTGTATATTAAATCTCAAATGCGTTCATTAAAATTTGTGTTTTTGCAATTGTTATTGTCTGACTTCAAAATGTGATGACGTTCCCTTACCTTGCATCGTGACAAATGTGGTCTGGAATTTACATAACATTTTAACATGTTTTTGCAACATGTAATTTCACTGGACAAGGACCGTGTTCTAATGTGCTAAAGAACCATGGCTCAATCTTGTTCATCCCCCCATGTTTATACCACGCCCATTTCTAGCCTTAACAACATGATGAGCCGTGTAGTTTTTTGACAAAATTGGATGAAATGAAGAATTTCTTGCACATACCTTAATTTATTACCAAAGCTACATCAAATTAGTGTAATGCTTAAACGGTTCATAAATGAAATATTTCACATGCATGAATGTTAGTGTCACATAAACTAAACACGGTGTTTATGTACTCAGCTTACTGTTCATACAGACATGAATTTGTAAGAATTTTGTTAATACAACACCACATTTAATGTGTAAACAAGATGCTTAAGACCTTTTCAAATTCTCCGCTTCATCAGTACACAGATCGAGTACGAGCCAGTATGGGCTTGACCAAACAACTTATCTTGAAAGCATATTTTTGATTGGCCACTTTGTTATTGAGTGACACTTTTTTTTAAATATGTATCTATTAGTCTGCTAGAAAGGGTATAACTATGCGTCTATACCACTCAAAAAGTTATATGCCCTAATTAGAAGCACTTTAATCAAATTCAAAGTTACTACTGTCATCTCTGCTTACATTGCAGAAAAAAGAGGTTAATTTTATTGTAATGTTGTTTTGTTGTATATGTTGTATACCATATATTCCTAACCCAATAGGAAAGAACCGGCATTGAGTATGCCTTTTTCAATCAAAATGTGTGATGTTATATCTTGTCAATACTATTATATTATTATATGAAAAAAAGATATATAGAACGGTAAAGAAAATAAAAGTTGAAGATGCCATTTCTAATCAGTGACATCGATTACTGTTTTCTTTACAATTTCAGTCAATGAGGCGATCGAACCGGGGAAATGTGAAAAGTTACTTTCTGGCAGGTCATTCTATGCCCTGGATAACGGTATGCTCCAAGATATCTTATCAATTACGTTGCGACCATAATGTGAAGTCTTATAATTTCACAGATTTGCAACTTTAACAAAACATCATGATTAATTAACATTTAATTTATTGATGTAAGCAGTATACGGTCTGGTTATTGTACATAAACATGTATCTGGCCCTAAAATCTCAGGGAAAGGCCATTTGAACTTAAATTCTGTTGTATTTAATAAATATATCTATTAGGTGCAATTTCTTGTTATTGGCCCGCTTTATATCTTCAAAAATGATATTGATTGGCGCTCTCTGTTGCGTTACATATATCTTGAAATAAACAGTTTGTTTGAAGAACGTAATCATATAATTTTTTAAATGTGTATGCATCAGCTGTATGTTATATTTTAATTTTCTTCGTATCTTGTATGTATTTTGATTACATGTCTTTCCAAACTTATTAAAGGAATGCTCACATAAGTCTGCAAATCTTGGTATAATGTGATATTTACTGCTTCTAACAGCATGTGAGATAACAATAGCAATGCTCACATAAGTCTACAAATCTTGGTATAATGTGATATTTACTGCTTCTAACAGCATGTGAGATAACAATAGCAATGCTCACATAAGTCTACAAATCTTGGTATAATGTGATATTTACTGCTTCTAACAGCATGTGAGATAACAATAGCAATGTTTACATAAGTCTACAAATCTTGGTATAATGTGATATTAACAGCTTCTAACAGGATGTGAGATAACATTAGCAATGCTTACACGTTATCTTTATTTTCACGAGGAAAATAAATGTGGGCATATATTTTGATATGATTTACATCTTTGCATCACAAGTAAAAATATGGGGGAAGTGGAGGTATTTGTCTTTTTAGAATCAACAACCTTCTCTGAACAGATCATCTGTTTCTCGCCAAATACGCATGTAGTTAGCAAGGCAGGCTGTATTGCAGCGTTCCAATGTTTTTGTTACGTCAGAACCAGCATCATCTATCGTTACTAATTTTAACACTTAATTTGCTCTGTAAATGGTCGCTTTAATGTAAAAAAAAAAAAACATCAGAAGAACAATATCAACATTAGTTGTACCTTTAAAACCTTATATTTCAACGGAAAAAATAATACATATTTATGTAAAAAAAATAATTTTGCAGGAATATGTTATCATTACATTTTCTGATATTACATTACCATTTTGTTATAATAGAATTATATTTTTGCAATTTTAAATTACTTATCATAAATATCAAACCACATAAGTATGGACAATAGATGATCAACATACTGCATCTTATTTCAGGTCGGAGCGTCTTTATTTTCCAGTAATATCGGAAGTGAGCACTTTGTAGGTCTTGCTGGGTCTGCGGCTTCAAGTGGAATCGCCAATATCACGTTTGAATGGATGGTATACCAGTGTTTCCTATAAATATACTTGTATATTCTTTTACTACTCAAGTCAAACCACTTGATATCTAGATACAGGTTCGCTATTAATCAATAGATTGTGAAGCCAAATGTTATTTTTCATATATGTGACGTAACACAATAATTTATCTGTGTATAATATGAAGTCGATTTATCATCCAATGATATTTATTATTGATTTTCTATTTCAATTACTATGCAATATTACAAAATTTGTCCGGCATGTCCTAACTTTGCAGATTTTTTTTTATACATTTCTGCACATGCAATAATTCATATTAATTAGACATAGGCTTTGATTAAAGAAACACACATATTGCCCAAACTTTGCCTAATTGATCTATAAATCATCGACTCATTCCTATTGTTACGGGGCTGCCATCGCCCCTCGAAGTCTGAAAATACAGAGAGAATGTATACCAAAAAGAAAAACGGCAGGATATTTTTTTAATTATTGATAGATAATAACAGCTTTTGATAATTTAATAATGTAATTACAAATATATAAATAATTGAAATATACTGAACATCGTTGCTGGTGATATCTGTTTCATTGCAGTCGACATTCCCCATTTTGCTGCTAGGATGGTATTTCCTTCCCGTCTATATATCTGCTGGTGTAAGTAACATATCTTGAATCAGAACTTTAAACCATATTATGATCTTATATATATATATCTTCTCAATTTTTTTTATCAAATATGATATCGTTCAAAATTAAGCCTTTGACGAGCTTGTTTTCGTTATGCCTTAATAATGAAAAACGCTTCGTCACTCTTTTTAATATATTTATATGAAAATATTTGACATCCAAATATATACACATGCAAAGATAAATGATAAAACATTTCTATAATTAAAATAATGCATGTAAATTTTTCAAATATTTATTGATCATTTAGTATAAATAATTATCTATTTCGCTGAAATTTGTATATGATGAAAAATATTTCTTTGTCTTTATATTATTACACCAGAGAATTTCAGGTATTTTTGCACACATCTATAAAACCATGTTACCTCCGCAGGGAAATTCCTTAAAACAAAAAATAAATAAAATAAAGTAACTTTAGTATATTGTTAAAAATAAAATATCCGGGTTTTGCAGCCTATTTATAGTCACTAAATGAATCTTGCATGCAGGTTTATACACTACCAGAGTATATGGAGAGGCGCCTTGGGGGAAACAAGATCCGGACATATCTCTCTTGTCTGTCGCTATTGCTCGCCATCGTCACCAAACTGGCGGTAATGTATAATTCGTTGAGAAGTAGTATTATATCAAATACCCCGGATGTATTTACTAAGTATAAACATATATTGTCTGCAATAATGTGTAACAAACAACTTGCTGGTATACGTATGATAAATGCCTTTCGTTGTTTTTCAAATATTCTATTTTGGTAAGGAATGTTTAAAATCAACGAAACATTAGAATGAAAATCTAACTTGAGATATACAAACTGTATTTTGAAATTCGTCTTCAGCGCGTTATCGGCCATATAATAGTTTAATTTGATATATCGGTTCTTCATGAAATAATGTCAAGTGGAAAAGATAACTCTCAATGAGAATGGTAAGGATATCCGAGAAGATTAATTTATTGAACACATTTCATCTATTTACAGAACATGTTTCTATCTTATCATAACAATACAGGTAAGTATGTTCGCTGGTTCCCTGTTCTTACAAATGTCTACCGGATGGAACATGTATGTATCTGTCATCATCCTTCTGGCTGTCACAGGTTTTTACACCATATTAGGTAAATACTTCACAGCTGCATCATATATACAATACTGGGTAATAAATTCTACAACACCCGGGTAATACAGTCACACAACGTATTTGCAAAACAAAATGTATATATATGAAGAAAAAAACCAATTCCTACTTGAAATGCCTATTTCTCCATCAGTGAGTCACATTGCTGTTTTGTATCCGTGTATATATTTAATGAGGCTCATTTTTGTAAAGTACACGCAATTTTTCTGTAGGGGGCCTTACTGCTGTCATGTACACAGACACCTTTCAGACGGGTGTGATGACAATCGGTGCCTTCGTGTTACTGGGTGTTGGTAAGTGATGAATTATACTGGAGAGGGAGGGGGAGGGGGTAGTAAATAGATATATGACCAGCAGTAACAGAGATTACTTGAGTACTTGAGTTGCATGATTGCGTACCAGCAAATGTTCTTAATTTGAACGTTCATTCTTCTATCGCTAGGGATGAATGAAGTGGGAAGTTTTGAAAACCTTGAAAAGCGATATATGAATTCATCGGCTACCAAACGACTTGTTAACTCCAGTTGTGGCTTGCCGAGGAAAGATGCCTTTCACGTGTTTCTAGATCCCGCCGGAAGTGAGCAGCCGTGGCCCGGACTTATCATATCTGCCTCCCTGATTTGTTTGGCGTATTGGTGTTGTGATCAGGTGAAGTATCGATTTTTACCTCTCATTCAATTAAATGTATCTAGCACGAATATTTCTGTTTGATTTGTGCCTGGATGGAGACAAATCCGTAATATAAACGAACATAGTAAAACGCTTTTGATCTTTTGAAACTTAATATTGATGAGTTCTGGATTGCTTCACTATGATTATTATGATATGTAAAAGCATATGCTGAAAGGAACCCTTAAAATGTCATACAGTTCAGTCGCGAGCTGATAGTTCTGTTATGAATTTACACCAAAGCTTGTCGGTGTATTAAATCATCTTATCGCTTGCTTTTGACTTGGCTATGGGGACATTCCCTTCTGGTCTTTCTTTCGAGTATTTGACTATAAATTTGTAGTCGAAGACACTTGGAAAAGTGGTCTTGGTTTCATATTGGTGATATTTGATGCCAAAGAGCGGCAGAAAATACAGAATAAAATACTGACGTTTTGTACACTACAGTGATATGAAGTTTTAATTTAAAGAATACCGTTACACAACCCACGCCCCAAACTACTCCCATCAGATAGAGCTTTAAATGCCATACTATATCGGCATCACAGTGTGTCAATCAATCAGAGGCCATGGCGGCCATGCTTAACGACCAATCAGAAATGCAATGCGTTACACACATCATATCCTCCAATGTTCATGTGAAGTTTCTGAAAGCCCAGACTTAGACGGAAGAAAATTATAATAATGAGGAAGATGAAGAAAAATAATAAGACGAGAAGAAGAAACACAGCAAAAGCAAAGTATCCCACTTAGTTAGGGGAACTTAATAACATTCTATTGTTTTTACATCAGTCCATGGACAAAACCAATGCCAATAAATGTATAAATATGTATTGATGGATGTAGTCAAATGTTAAGACAATTTGAATATATTTAAAGAAAAACATACAAAAATGATAATCAAACAATATTTGAAGTTACGTTTCCACAGGAGACAAACCGAAGAACTGTCATGAAATATATGCTGTCAGAGTTATATTATTAACAATTTTGCTTCGCAGATAATTGTACAGCGATCACTAGCGGCAAAAAACATTGAACACGCTAAAGGAGGATCAATCATGGCGGCTTCTCTTAAAATTCTTCCTCTGTTTCTGATGGTAATTCCTGGACTGATCAGTCGTGTATTGTTTCCAGGTAAATGCATTGATCTGTAACCATCAGTTTGTTTATATTATACCCTATATGCCTCACCAAATCAACCCTAAACATGTGGTCCGGCAATGACGTATTCAATGTTTCATGATAAAGGATATACCTCTAAAATAAAATGTGGAATTGTAACAAAAGACCGAATTGCTCAATTACAAGAAATCGACAAGTACACAGACAAACTATTTCAACATGTAACCGACATCAGGATATATGTATGCTGCCCAAGTAGATATTTAGGCATTCTTTTGTTGGTTTCTTACAGAACTACAAGATTGTAAGGAAATTGCACGTTATTTATGGTTTTTAAGAAATCAGTATTGATTTAAACTAGTTGGTGCCGTACACAAGCTGTAAAACACAGAAATCTTGTATTGTTTATTACCATTCGTATTGTCTAGATGAAGTAGCATGTGCCGACCCTGACGAGTGTATGAGAATATGTGAAAATCCTGTTGGTTGTTCTAATATCGCCTATCCTAAGATGGTCCTAGAACTTCTACCTGACGGTAAGAAAATCCATTAGGTAATCGTAAAAATGGCTCACACTGCGAATCAGCTTGTGATGTTTTCATCACTTCTTTTTGCTTACTTAAGGCGACACTGTAGCTCATACATTGTATTGCACGATCGTTCATCTGCGAAGCGTAAATATTAATTAGTTTGGGCCAAGAACTATAAAAGTGAAAATTTGTGGATGTTGCAATGTTCGTGTTGTCACTATTTAAATTGATAGCTGTGTGGAAATGTTCGTGTTATCACTGTTTAAACTGATAGCGGTGTGGAAATGTTCGTGCTGTCACTATTTAAACTGATAGTGGTGTGGAAATGTTCGTGTTGTCCCTATTTAACTCATAGCGGTGTGGAAATGTTCGTGTTCTCACTATTTAACTGATAGCGGTGTGGAAATGTTCGTGGTGTCACTATTTAAATTGATAGCGGTTTGGAAATGATCGTGTTGTCCCTATTTAAATTGATAGCGGTGTGAAAATGATCGTGTTGTCACTATTTAAACTGATAGCGGTGTGCAAATGATCGTGTTGTCACTATTAAAATTGATAGCGGTGTGGAAATGTTCGTGGTGTCACTATTTAAATTGATAGCGGTGTGGAAATGTTCGTGTTGACACTATTTAAACTGGTAGCGGTGTGGCAATGTTCGTGTTGTCACTATTTAACTTACAGCGGTGTGCAAATGATCGTGTTGTCACTATTAAAATTGATAGCGGTGTGGAAATGTTCGTGGTGTCACTATTTAACTGATAGCGGTGAGGAAATGTTCGTGTTGTCCCTATTTAACTGATAGCGGTGTGGAAATGTTCGTGGTGTCACTATTTAAATTGATAGCGGTGTGGACATGTTCGTGTTGTCACTATTTAAACAGATAGCGGTGTGGAAATGTTCGTGCTGTCACTATTTAACTGATAGCGGTGTGCAAATGATCGTGTTGTCACTATTAAAATTGATAGCGGTGTGGAAATGTTCGTGGTGTCACTATTTAAATTGATAGCGGTGTGTTTGTGGATGTTGCAATGTTCGTGTTGTAACTATTTAAATTGATAGCTGTGTGGAAATGTTCATGTTATCACTGGTTAAACTGATAGCGGTGTGGAAATGTTCGTGGTGTCACTATTTAACTGATAGCGGTGAGGAAATGTTCGTGTTGTCCCTATTTAACTGATAGCGGTGAGGAAATGTTCGTGTTGTCCCTATTTAACTGATAGCGGTGAGGAAATGTTCGTGTTGTCCCTATTTAACTGATAGCGGTGAGGAAATGTTCGTTTTGTCACTATTTAAACTGATAGTGGTGTAGAAATGTTGGTGTTGTCACTATTTAACTGATAGCGGTGAGGAAATGTTCGTTTTGTCACTATTTAACTGATAGCGGTGAGGAAATGTTCGTGTTGTCCCTATTTAAATTGATAGCGGTGTGGAAATGTTCGTGGTGTCACTATTTAACTGATAGCGGTGAGGAAATGTTCGTGTTGTCCCTATTTAACTGATAGCGGTGAGGAAATGTTCGGGTTGTCACTATTTAAATTGATAGCGGTGTGGAAATGTTCGTGTTCTCACTATTTAACTGATAGCGGTGTGGAAATGGTCGTGTTGTCACTATTTAAACTGATAGTGGTGTGGAAATGTTCGTGTTGTCCCTATTTAACTGATAGCGGTGTGTAAATGTTCGTGTTGTCACTATTTAACTGACAGCGGTGTGCGAATGATCGTGTTGTCACTATTTAAACTGGTAGCGGTGTGGAAATGTTCGGGTTGTCACTATTTAAACTGACAGCGGAGTGGAAATGTTCGTGTTGTCACTATTAAAACTTACAGCGGTGTGGACATTTTCTTGTTGGCAATAATAGTTCTGATGGATTCTGTTGTGGATGTTGCAATGTTCGTGTTGTCACTATTTAAACAGATAGCGGTGTGGAAATGTTCGTGCTGTCACTATTTAAACTGATAGTGGTGTGGAAATGTTCGTGTTGTCCCTATTTAACTGATAGCGGTGAGGAAATGTTCGTGTTGTCCCTATTTAACTGATAGCGGTGTGGAAATGTTCGTTTTGTCACTGTTTAAACTGATAGCGGTCTGGAAATGTTCGTGTTGTCACTATTAAAACTTACAGCGGTGTGGACATTTTCTTGTTGGCAATAATAGTTCTGATGGATTCTGTTGTGGATGTTGCAATGTTCGTGTTGTCACTATTTAAATTGATCGCGGTGTGGAAATGTTCGTGTTGTCCCTGTTTAAACTGATAGCGGTGTGGAAATGTTCGTGGTGTCACTATTTAAATTGATAGCGGTGTGGACATGTTCGTGTTGTCACTATTTAAACTGATAGTGGTGTACAAATGTTCGTGTTGTCACTATTTAACTGATAGCGGTGTGAAAATGTTCGTGTTGTCACTATTAAAACTGACAGCGGTGTGGACATTTTCTTGTTGGCAATAATAGTTCTGATGGATTCTGTTTATAATCTATATAATTTATAAATTTCATTTCATTTCGTTTCAGAATATGTTATTGTATTGATCTTATGTACAAAAGCAATTGGGCAACAGGCATAGCCTATATAAGCCCTCTCTTAATTTATAAATAATTACTCGCATGTGGAAAATTTCGCCCAACATTCACACACCGGGACAATTTCCTCTTTTACATTGTACTTATATAAACAAACCAACCAATAAATAGTTTCCAATTAAAAAATGTTGTTGTTAATGATACGATTACCACGTTATCTGTGTATGAACAAAGATATAATGGGTTTATATAGGACTTCGCGGATTCCTTATGGCTGTGATTTTGTCCGCCATCATGAGTTCCCTAACATCCATCTTCAACAGCTCTAGTACTTTGTTTACCATGGATCTATGGCGGAGATTTCGACCACGATCTACCCAGAGGGAACTACTAATTGTTGGAAGGTACAAGGCACTGGTTAACATTGATATAGAAAGACAATTCCGACCACTGTGTACCTAAACACGGTTACTCTGTGGATATGTAAAGATAGTACACTCTAGACAATCGACACTCATAAGGATTATTTTAACTGGTATATATTTTGAAATATTTTCACGCAAATATTGTGTAGGGGTAAGGAATAGTCAATTGCCACAAACAATTTTTAGCATTTGTAATGTTATAAAGATAATTACCTTGAAATTTCCCACTGTAGCTTCAGCTATTGATATTATTTTAATAAAGGAAAGCATCTTCAACATGTTAAGAATGTCAGATAACGTTTAGTATTTTTTATTTTTATTTCACACAGAGTCGTCATTCTGGTTATGTGTGGATTAAGTATCGTCTGGCTTCCGCTGATTAAAAGCTCTCAAGGGGGACAGCTTTTCAACTATATTAATATGGTGCAAGCCAATATAATGGCTCCTGTGGGTGCTGCGTTTGTGCTGACAATTTTTTGGACTAGAACCACTGAGTGGGTAAGCGAGTCTATCGGTCTATTTATCTGTCTCACAGTTTCGATCAATTTTGATTATATTTCATTGTATATTTTAAAGGTAAACTATTCCGATATGAAGAGAGTTACACAATACGTAAGTTGATTGTTTTGTATTAAGACACACGATTAATCGGGTGTTTTTTACAATTTGAAAATTAACTATCTCGAGAGAGATGAACATGGCAACCAGCCATCATGAGTTTGGGGACTTTTTTCTCACACAACGTTCATACTTTATCTGGAACACCATACATATCCATTGGAAATGTATAAAATGTCTGCTTCCGATTGGATAATCAATTGCTGTGAAACATGAAGAATCATGAGGTAGCGACGCTGTCAAGCATGGTTGTTTGACGTTATAATAGATAGACTGACCAATCAAATCAAGTAGCTGGTGCTACTGGATATAATTAACCAACCGTATTTACCATATCCTTGCAGGTTTATCCAATGAGTCGATAATACCAAATAGAACCATAAAAGTACTTTTGGAGAAAAAGTGTTATTGTTATAGATCGAAAAGTGAGAAAAAGCAGACGAGCTCCGGTATTGAATACGTAATTATGTATTAGCGTGTCCTTTCGGTTGAATAATTGATATAAAGAGGTCTATCTTTAAAAAAAATACTAGAACTACATAATCATATTTCATATCATTATGTTTTTGTTGTGTTTTAGTTCTTTAGTTTATTTGTTAATACACTATATAGGGGATTATCGGCGGGCTTATGATAGCGCATGGATGCGGAATTATACGACTGGTGTTGGAGTTTGTGTACCCAGCGCCACCATGTGGAGAGCCTGAAACGAGGCCTGCTGTATTGTATAAAGTTCATTTTCTTTACTTCGGCACTCTTCTAGCTTTTCTTACTCCGCTTGCCATAGTGATCCTCAGCAAGGTAACTACAGGGAGGAATGCAGAAGAGGTAAGATGTACCACAGTTTACTACTACTGTCTGAAGAGAGTGTAAATACTGATTACAAATGTATTTGGTTTGTGAAAGTTGTTACGAGCGAGGAGAGTCCAGTTAATCAGGTTCCTGGGGATTATATTGAATGGGGAAATGTCGAGTCAAATACAAACCTTACAAACCTGATTAAGCTAAAGAAAAAATAACAAAGCTATAAATAAAATAGTAGAATGTCTGTCACGCCGATACTGATGCTTAGATATTTGACATTGTTGTATTTATCATTGTTTATAACGTTTGGCGTCAACATATGATAAAGCGAAAAAGATAACTAGAGTCTTTAAGTGAAACCAAACATATCAGCATAACACGATTAAATGACGGCGAATCATAAATTATATTGATTGTAAACGTTTAAAATATTAAGTACATTTTGTTAATGTCACTAATGCTTCTCCATGCCTTAAACGTTTCCACAGATATCATATGTTACGATACACGGCGTGCTCTAAGTGTTGGGTGGCAGTGTACACATTTGTAGACCGTGTTTGGGGCTTTAAGTTTATGTCGGAAAAATCTGAGTACATTTTTCATAAGTTTCAAAGTCTTTATCCCCTACAATTGAATTTTAAAGAAAGCCGAACAATAATTTTAAGTGTGCTGTTAACGTTTTCATTTATAACAAAAAAAAATATGATATGCACAAATACAACGCTGTGCTGTCATTCTATAGCTAATCAACTGTAACACAACAGAAATTAACATTTCAAACACCGAGCCTTCATTTGTTTTTTGTCTTTTGTTTCAGGTTATACAATATGATATAAGGAGGTCTATCATTGACGGAATAGCAAAAACTATTATAATATTCAAAACCACGTATCACTTAACTGTACAAGTTTTAAAAAACATCTTTACTGAGAAGGTGACTTCCGTCAGTTAGACATTGAAAAATCTTTTTTTAATAGCAGAGTCGAAAAGACAACAAGTTAGATTGTATTCATCGTAATATTATATAACCTTGGCACTATCAGAATAAAACAGTCATCCTCGACTCCATAGATATTTCTTTCTCATTTCTTGAGCACGGTAATCACACATATATATATATATATATATTATAACATTCAGCATAACCCATACAATAGTTTTACTAGTGGATCGCCACTTTCAAAGATTTTATGGATGAAAATGCTGGGGGAAAAGCCATAATCATATTAACGACCCCTCCCTTTACAAGTCGGTATTTCCATGGCGCCACATAGCCTTGGCTTATAAATAGCTATACCAACGCGGACAATTCAAGGGATACTCAGAGTTCGATCCGGTAGTTATTAATTTAAGAAAACATATACTGCAGCGGATAAAGATAGCATGCTATCTGCATAATGTAGACGTCAAAATATCTCTTAAAATACCTTAAAGTGGTTCGACGTTTTTCCTTGGGTTTGTTTTGGTTTTATATTGTTTAACGTCCTATCAACAGCTAAGGTCATTTAAGGACGTGCCTCCATATGTGTTGTGTTTTTATGTATGTGTGTAGAAAGGGTGTATTGGTGAATTTACCTCCTTGTGATAGCGCGGATCTGATGCCTGCTTCATAGTGCTATCTCACTGAAATACCATGCCGAATGCACCCAGGACAGCATTCCCCTGTTTATGTCAAATTTGTTCATCAAATATTGTTTATAATATCTTTTGTTTTAAGAAAATGACTTTTAGCACACGCAGTATCTTTTCATTTCTCTCAATTGTTCCGCCTCTAACACGGAGATTGCAGTATGTTTAAGGTAAAGTATTTTCTTGATAGAGAATGTTGGTGTAAAATCCCCTTTTCTCATTCAGTTAGAAGGACTCACCTGGTGGACAAGAGTAAAATATACTCCTAAATCGAGTAACCATCTCGGTGAAGAGGGCATACCTACTGATGAGGAATACGACAGCAAACTTAAAGTAAAGGCGGAGAGCTTGAATCTACCTGGCATCAACCTAAAGGAGCCTAGCCCAGGTAAGTATTTACCTGACATCAACCTAAAGGAGCCTAGCTCAGGTAAGTATTTACCTGACATCAACCTTAAGAAGCCTAGCTCAGGTAAATATTCACCTGACATCAACCTAAAGGAGCCAAGCGCAAGTAAGTATTTACCTGAAATCAACCTAAAGGAGCCTAACTCAAGTAAATATCTACCTGACATCAATCTAAAGGAGCCTAGCTCAGGTAAGTATTTTCCTGACATCAACCTAAAGGAGCCTAGTTCAGGTATTATTTACCTGACATCAACCTAAAGGAGCCTAGCTCAGCTAAGTATTTACCTGCCATCAACCTAAAGGAGCCTAGCCCAGGTAAATAATTACCTGACATCAACGTAAAGGAGCCTAATTCCAGTAAGTATATACCTGACATCAACCTAAAGGAGCCTAGCTCAGGTAAGTATTTACCTGACATCAACCTAAAGGAGCCTAGCTCAGGTAAGTATTTACCTGCCATCAACCTAAAGGAGCCTAGCCCAGGTAAACAATTACCTGATATCAACCTAAAGGAGCCTAGCTCAGGTAAATATTTACCTAACATCAACCTAAAGGAGCCTAGCTCGGGTAAGTATTTACCTGACATCAACCTAAAGGAGCCTAGCTCAGGTAAATATTTACCTGACATCAACCTAAAGGAGCCTAGCTCTGGTAAATATTTACTTGACATCAACCTAAAGGAGCCTAGCTCAAGTATTTATTTACCTGACATCAACCTAAAGGAGCCTAGCTCAGGTAAATATTTACCTGACATCAACCTAAAGGAGCCTAGCTCAGGTAAGTATTTACCTGACATCAACCTAAAGTAACCTAGCTCAGGTAAATATTTATTTACGGGTAATAATTGTGTAAACAACGAAATATAGGAAACCAAATGTATTAGCCTTTTCGTGCTACAATTATATCTTGATTTTTCGGTTAATAACTACAGCTGTCAGCAATTATTTAGCTTCCTATTCAACGGAGCGAGATTTTCTGAATAATACTCGTCCCGTCAACCAAAAAGATATCTATCCAGGGTTTGTATTACACGGGTTTCAATTTACGCTGCAGACAGTTTGTTATCATGATTTCTCCACAGTTCCTGTTGATATTCGTTTGAATCGATTGTGATATCGGATATTATTCCTGTGTTTTGGTGAGATACATGTTTTAACATGTTTTAATGCGAGAACAGGTGTCAGGGATATAAAACAATGCATTATATGGATATTTCCAATCAGAGATATTCTTTAATATATTATCGCGCATGCTCGGCGTTTGTTGTGAAATTCACATAGATGTACATATAATTTCGAAGGCGTCACAATTCTTTAAGCGTGAATAAAATTATGATAGTAAACCTAAATATTCATTAGTTGAAAAATAATCACCATATGAGCTTGTATTGTTGTGGAATATATCACGATTGAGAGATATGTTGGAAAATTATAGCAGAAATGCGTTATTCATTTATGACTATTCTAACAAGTACAATATGTAATGAAATCATGTTTTCGTGTCCACCTCATTTCACATACGTTTATACTTTAAACCTTGATAAAATATACTATCTATCGACATCGCTCGTCATCACAAGTCACCTTCTTGGTTATTCCGGCAGAATATTTTGATCATGAACTCGACAGGTTTTAAGTAGATCTAGGGGTTGAATAAAATCTGTATTGTTTGTTCGTTAGAAGATCTTCAAATATACAGAAAAACATAAAAAGAGAGCAGCACGTGCAAAATATGTTGGAAAAAATCAGTGTACGCGCAGGGTGTGTCGTCAATAACACTTGGTTACAATCAGTGAACAGTGTCGTTACATTGTAGACGTGGTAGAATTGTCGATAACAATTATAAACGTAAATAATGTTGTTTTAAAGAAATTGTTTATATATATTTGATTTGGGGAGGGTTTATATGTTGAAAAGTCTGACTACTATAGTGTTGGAATATCATTAAAACAATAAAAAGTAGAATAAATATTTGCAAATAAATATCTACATGTAACTGACGATTTTTGTCTTTATATAGATGACTATCAGGGAGACATAGTCCTTCCTCAAAACCAGAACGAGCAAGGAACCTGCAAGCAGAAATTCTTCGTGTTTCTATTTGGAAAGCCAGAAAAGGGAAGAGAGATAACTGTCATGACTTTGCGCCAAAAACAAATCTTTATGAGGGAACGACCAAAGTTTAAATGGTTTTTGAACGCATGCACAGTTTTTGTTATAGGGGCAGTGATGTTCCTTTTCGGCTATTTTGCATAACTTTTCAAGATTTTTTCTGTTCTGGCAAAACGTTATATATTTAACGTACCCATGGAATGCTGTACATCAACAATTACATTACATTGAGTAATTTTAATAACTGTATTAATACATATGGAAACAGCAAATATAACATTGATATGGATTTCGAATAAAAATACTGAATGCGTAGAATAATTATTGACAACCTTTTCCATTTTGTATTTTTGCTTTAATTTTTTTGGTTTTTTAAATGTATTGTTTTATTACACTTTCAAAATACATGTAGTCGATTTTAACAAATAATGTAAACTTATTTTACAACAATTATGAAGCAAGTTATAACAACCTATGCTAATCACTCCTGATGGCCCGGGTGTTAACATTTTATCAACAATGAAATGCCCAATGATATTTTAAAATAATTAAATGAAATCATTGTAGTATATTTATTCAATGTTAGCCTCACAATATCGTAAATTCAAAACTGATCGAGGAACAATAGAACTGTTACTTCAGTTCTGATTTAGATCACCTCCACTTTACATTCAATATTTTTAGTAGTTGAATATTGCTATTTGTCAGAAAAATTAAGTGTGAACCTCTCATAAATTTTATACTTATCTATCAGTAACACTACATTCACCTTTATCCAACCCTGTAACTATCTGCTTACCATATGACAGAATGGCTAGCTGAAACTTCCTGTAAAGCAGGCTTCAACCTCTTCGGCTAGAAGGTGCTATCTGAAGCATAGCAACATCTGGCTATAAAATGCTATCTGTAACATGGCACCTTCTGACTATACAATGCTATCTGTAACATAGCACCTTCTGACTATAAAATGCTATCTGTAACATGGCACCTTCTGACTATACAATGCTATCAGTAACATAGCTCCTTCGGACTTTAAAATGCTATCTGTAACAAAACACCGTCTGGCTATACAATGTTATCTGTAACATAGCACCTTCTGGCTATAAAATGCTATCTGTAGCATAGCACCTTCTGACTAAACAATGCTATCAGTAACATAGCACCTTCTGACTATAAAATGCTATCTGTAACAAAGCACCATCTGGCTATAAAATGCTATCTGTAACATAGCACCTTCTGGACATACCATGTTATTTGTAACATAGCACCTTCTGACTATCAAATGCTATCTGTAACATGGTACCTTCTGACTATAAAATGTTATCTGTAACATAGCACCGTCGGGCTATACAAAGCTATCTGTAACATAGCACCTTCTGACTATAAAATGCTATCTGTAACAAAGCAACGTCTAACTATAAAATGTTATCTGTAACATAGCACCTTCTGACTATGAAAAGCTATCTGTAACATAGCACCGTCTGACTATAAAATGCTATCTGTAACAAAGCAACGTCTAACTATAAAATGTTATCTGTAACATAGCACCATTTGGCTATAAAATGCTATCTGTAACATAGCACCTTCTGGCTATAAAATGTTATCTGTAACATAGCACCTTCTGACTATAAAATGCTATCTGTAACATAGCACCTTCTGACTATGAAATTCTATCTGTAACATAGCACCGTCTGACTATAAAATGCTATCTGTAACAAAGCACCGTCTAACCATCAAATGTTATCTGTAACATAGCACCATTTGGCTATACAATGCTATCTGTAACATAGCACCTCTGACTATAATATACTATTTGTAACATAGCACCTTCTGGCTATAAAATGATATCTGTAACATAGCACCGTTTGACTATACAATGTTATCTGTAACATAGCACCTTCTGACTATAAAATTATATCTGTAACATAGCACCGTCTGATTATAAAATGTTATCTGTAACATAGCACCTTCTGGCTATACAATGCTATCTGTAACATAGCACCTTCTGACTATAAAATGTTATTTGTAACATAGCACCTTCTTACTATAAAATGCTATCTGTAACATAGCACCTTCTGACTAAACAATGCTATCTGTAACATAGCACCTTCTGGCTATAAATGTTTTCTGTAACAGCACCTTCTGGCTATAAAATGTTATCTGTAACATAGCACCTTCTGGCTATAAAATGCTATCTGTAACATAGCACCTTCTGGCTATAAAATGCTATCTGTAACAAAACACCTTCTGGCTATAAAATGCTATCTGTA